ACCTTCCGATTACAAGGCGAACTCCCAACTCTTGAGCCTCAATCGCCCACATTAGTAATCCTTTTGTGCATAATTTTATGTTATTGTTAATAATAAATTACTTAAAGCAACAAAACAACCTGAAGAGCCGGTTCGGAGCCGAAAGAGCCGGCTCTTTTTAGTGAGTCGAGCCGAAAGAGCCGGTTCTCTAAAAAGAACCGGAAATCACATCACTAGTAGCATGGGACCCAACACAGCTAAGGCCTATGCCACTGTTTTGTGTTAAGTTTAGTGTTTTCAGCAAACACCTTGTATTGGTGTTGTCAGTATTATTAGTCGCTGACTCTGCTTTTCAGCGTTCACCTGTCAGCAACTCCAACTCTGTCCATAAAATCCAGGTCATCTCAACCATTAGAATGATGGACACTACATGTAGCTGTGTCGCTCAGTCTCCCCTGACACCACCCCCTGAACAACCCAATATCACTCCAAACCGTGTAATAAACACCCACACAGGGTTGTATTACTACATGCAGAAGTTGAATTCCAGCAGGGGCAGATAATATATTTAAAGTCATGAAGTCAATAGAGAGCACAAAAAATGTATGAAGTACAATGCAGGGTCAATCATTGCCAGAAACGATTGAGGTTGCTAATATGTATATACAAGTAAATGTGTTAATAATGCCTGTTTAAACACTTTCCTATAATTGTTTTTATGTTGGCTTGAAATAAAATCCTCCCTCTGCTGTTAATGCAGCTTCTGCATGAGTGTTGAGACGGCTGGAGCCTATCTCAGCTGTCATAGGGCAAAAGGAATCCCATGACAGGCTGCCAGCCTGGTAACCAATAAAACATATAGGAAAATAAAATAATGACTATGAGACAGCCCTCTTACTGAAAATCTCTGTGGAGAGAATGTTTGCATGCATGCATTTGTGAAGAATGAGAGTGGAGAGTGACTATGACACGAAGGAGGCACTAAAAGAATGTCTGGCTTTAAAAATGTGTGATTTAATATAAGAAATTGTATCAAGCACATTTTAATTGACAAAAACAGTCAAAGTTCTGAAAAGGAAAAATGAAAAAATAAATATTTTATGAATTAAAGAGATTTGAAGAAATGGATGTTCATGTGAGAATAAGCTAATAATAAATTTAATTAAAGCATAAACTAAGTGGGAGCGTATTCATATGTGACTGAATGTTCATATTTGATGAAAATAACAATATGTCATGTTAAAGAATGACATAGAAAAGAAGTTTGTAAAAGACCCAAGGCACACACAGACAGTGTTGCAGGGACAGCATTCATTTATTTACATTAGCAATCACTCTTGGGATTCTGTGATGTTGCATTCACCATGTCTTCAGGTCTGTCCTCTGGTCCCAGCCGGCTACTGAAATAGAGAGCGTATGATCGCACAGTCACTCCCAGTTCGTCTGCCAGCCTCCTGGCACTACCCCCTAGAACCCACTGCACCACCCCTCCTCTGCAGCGGAGTCGCAGACCACACCCAATGCCACAAGAAGAAATTGTAATGAAGTGATTTTAAGGTTTGAAGTTTAAAACTTTGTTTTAAATCGTGTATGTGAAAAATTCACAGGAAGGGAGGATGATAAGATCTGGCTGGACATCAGGTGACTGTATGTCAACAATAGTGATTGGATGTCCAGAGAGCAATTCACCCAAAGATTAGACCTTTCAGTGTTCAGAAAAACTGTAAAAACAATCAGAAGAGCTACATCTAGTGATGTGCAATACCACTGATTTTCTTTCCGATCCGATACCAAGTAAAATCCAGGGTGGTATCGATGATACTGATTCGATACCGATACTCTGTACAAAAACTTAATGTTTCATTGTATTTCATAATACAATATAGAATTGTCTTGCCACATGTATCGCAAACTGCATCTTGGCTGTTTGTGGAGGTAAATTACATCCACACATGACTCGGTTTAGGCTCAGCCATTGTTGTGAGTGCGCATGCCAGGTGCAGTGTTGCCAACTTAGTGACTTTGTCACTATATTTAGCGAGTTTTCAGAACCCCTTAGCAATTTTTTTTCTAAAAAGCAACTAGCGACAAATCTGGTGACTTTTTCTGGTGTTATTGGATTTATTACAACTTTTTGACGTGAAAGCGCGTATCGCTCTTCTCAACAAGCAGCGGGTGCTGCTGTGGGCACCTCGCCCGTGCCAAAGCACTCACGGGCAGAGGATAGTCCACCCCCAGCTGCTATCAGGGCAGGAGATCTTCCCACCTATGCGTCCAAACTGCAAATGAATCGCGTATGAGTGAAGCCTCTGCTCCCGCACTGACTGTAACGCAATCAGTTCTTCTTTTACTGTTATGTTGTTTTGTGGATCACAAGGTTTAAAACTACTTAAACACACACACACACACACACACACACACAAAGTAACTCCACCAGAGTGCCTATTTCGAGTCACTTTTGCAGGTCCAAGGAATAAGGAATAAGGTTGGAATTGTGACATTAAAAAAAACAATAATCGCTAAAAGAAATTTAATATGTAGTTCTAAATAAATTCTAAATGCATTTAGGACGTTTTTTTACTCACTTTGTTTCTTCTTTTTTTCTCTCCTACAACATGGGTTACAATGACATTAGCATGACCAATCATGCAAATTAGGCGATGACGTCATTTAGCGACTTCTAGAGACTTTTAGAATAGCCAAAAGTGATTTTCCTTGCTGAGGAGTTGGCAACACTGGCCAGGGGCTGCGACACATTTATACAGCCGTATTTTGCATATGACTATGAAAGGCGTAAGAGGAAGTAGTTTCTTCCAATTTAGACGATCCAAATGATATAGTTTCTTTCCATTGTGTTCCTGTTAATGAAAAACTACAAATTTACTCCAAAATACTAAAATATCGATATTTTAATATGAGAATCGATTCTAGAACATAAATTACTGGGATCGGAAGAATCGATATTTCAATATCGATCCACACACCACTATCGCGTGCACTCGCGCGACCAGCACTCCTGTTTAAACACACGCAGTCACGGTGACACGTTTCTATCTCGGACCCTACGATCATTCGCACGGTTATAGAGGCGCTCTGTTTACTTACTGTTGTGCTGCTTCTCGTTCACGGGGAGGGTCTCAGGATCCCGTCAATCACCATCCAACCAAGGGGAGTTCAGACGCTATCTCACCGGCCTGGCCACAAATTCACGTTCCAGGGCTTTCTTCGGGCATCCTAGTGTCCTGGCTGTCCACAGACTTCGGTATGTCCTACCCCCTCCTCAATGAAAGGCCATTTGTTGGAGTCCGGCTCCGAAGGACCAAATAAATGTTAGGTCTGTGCTTGCAGGCCTCGCTGACTCAGAGACTCCCGTGAACAAAGCCAGACGAACAGAGATCGATTGGTTTTAAGTTGCGCAAGGGGAGCCCAGTCAGAATCTCAGAGCTGTGAGCTCTGCACCCAAACCTCAGACGACTCCAACTCTGGCCCCCTCTTGCAGTTCTTTTATTAACTCAGTGTTTACACAAACATCTCATTAATCATGCGATAGATGAAATACATATGAACATGTGTCGTGTGTGTCTGCAACAGTGAACATGTGATGTGTGTGTGTGTGTGAATGTGTCTGTGAGCATGTGATGTGATCAGTGAAACGTGAGTGTGCGTCTGTGTAGAAAACAGAGGTGAACATTCATGCTAAAGATCTAATCATCTTGCACAATGACAACCATAATGATCCACAATTCTCTAACAGAACTGTTACCTGCAACTGCAACCACCTGACCTCATTCTCCATCCTCATGTCACCAAACATTCCAAAGAAACTCTGTTTAGACATTATAACCTACATTGGAGTTGGCCTGTCCATGATTTCCTTGGTCATATGTCTCATCATTGAAGGACTCATATGGAGAAAAATAACAACGACTGAAACCTCTTATGTGCGTCATGTTGCCATAGTCAACATTACTGTCCCTCCTTATTGCAAATATTTGGTTTATAATTGGAGCGGCCATTTCAGATGCAAAAGTTTAAAAAAAAAAAACCCAGCGTGCACTGCAGCTACCTTTTTTTTAATCCATTTTTCTACCTAGCTCTGTTTTTCTGGATGTTTGCCTCAGCTTTGTTGCTGCTCTACCGTACAACTAATGTCTTTGGGGGGCTGTCTAAAGCATCTATGCTGGCCATTGGATTCTCTCTAGGCTACGGAGCTCCTCTCATCATAGCAACAGTAACTGTAGCTGCAACTGCACCTGACAACAAATATATCAGAGAAAATGTAATCTGTTGGCTCAAATGGGATGTGTCCAAAGCTCTACTGGTGTGTGATTCTTACACTGTTAATAGTGCTGATAAACCCAATTATCCTGCATGTGGTTTTCAGTTAGAGATATTTGTAATGAAAACCATTTTCACTAGCAGTCAAAAACTAATGTGTACCCTTATGGCAGCATTTTTGTTAAATATGAACAGAATGATAGAAGAAGTGCTGCCACATGCCTGGCCAGAGAGTACCAATTTGTTTATTTAGTAGTTCAATGAAAGGCTTCAGTTAAGTAAGAGTGAGGGAAAAAAATTGTGCTTACTTTCACAGTTTTGTCTTTTTAAAATAAAGAAAAACACTACATTTTTCCAAATATTTGTGGATGTTTAAGTGGCCATCCAATGAGATGACAGCGCCAGCTGCGTTAGCCTCATCTTAGATAACATCAATCAGATCATTAAAATAAGCTAAGTTTTAAAAATAACATCTGAATATTATTGATCGCTTAAAAACCCACCTGAATAGTTTTGTTATTGATTTGGCCTCTGTAGTTTGGTTTTCATATTTTCTGGTTCTTTACTCTTTCACATTCACACATTTAGCTTTTTTTTCTTTAACTGAAACTTTGTTTCTTAAGTATTTATTGTCTCTGAGCTGTTTTTCAGTTCTCAATCATTCTATCAGCTGATTCATAAGAGGATTAGTTGGCAGAATTGATTGACTAATCAGTTGACTGATCATGAAGTAACTCCAAATGTTGCCATTTTCAGATTGTTTTATTAGATTGTTTAAAAAGGAAACAATACTGAGAAACAAAGAGGTTGTTCAACATGTCAGACAGATTTTATAGAAAAGTTAAAACAGGAAACACACAACAGGTTCCATTTAATCAGGGATGAAAGATCAGCAGATGGAGGCGAGGTCAGAGGGGATCAGGTGCAGTAGAACTCTCCGGCATCAACTCTGCGTCTTTTACGACTCTGCTGCTCGAAGAACTGACGAATGTCATCAGATGTCACAACCTATCATAGAATAGTTAAATTATATCAGTTAACCTATCAGAACAGTCACAAGACACTTGACCTATCAGGTGGAAGACTCACTTTTCCTTCAGCTGCAAATCTCTGCAGGAAGTCCTTCAGCTCAGTTTTCATGTCATTGTATCCTGCAAGAAAAGTAATCAGGACTATTTAATCTGTTCATAGACTTTCTGCAGGTTCAAACATTCTTCTTACAGAGTCCACTTACAGAATTGTTAAGTTACAGTGTGAGCACCTACATAAAAGCAAAGATTTCACGTGTGCGTTAAAAGAGTACTGAGGGGGGAAAAAAACTGCGATGCGCGATACCACCACTATTGAACAGGTGATGGAGAAACAGGTTTACCTTTTAGGTGACATGAATGAGTTGAACGGAAGTTATGAATGGTTTCTGAGAGACAAATAACACTAGGATCCTTTTCTAAGTAGCTGACAGCTGGTAACTGTGCAGGGGTAGGACATTAACAGGGAAAGGGGGGCACAAAGAAATACGTTTCTTTCTTATTCTCATTTAACCCATTAAGACCTACCATAGTATGGAGCGCCAGGACTGCCATAATGAATTAATTAAATACACCATTAAATAATTAATTAAATGTGGCAATAATTAATTAAAATTGGAATTAATTAAT